ATAATATCTTATGGAATGACTGTGGCTGAGACTGGCCTACTGAGCCAGGCTTCGGTTTGAAGGCCCGACTTAAAATTGTTATGGGATAGGTAGCTGGATTGTTTCTGAAGGGGCTATGGCAGTGCTCAAAGAAAGAAAAGTCTGAATATACATATAGGTAGCAGAGCTTAATCCTATCTTGTGCCATGCTTTCATCTTAGTAATATATTCCTCCATTTTCTAGCTTGAAAAGTATATGGGACATGGCTCGATAGATAGAAAACTAAGGGAAATTCAAGCAGCGGGAGACGATACTCCTGGCTGTGGTAGACTGGTCTGCACAGTGTTTTGATTCTCTGAATTAGCTGGGAAAAAAAAATAAGCCACTACCACTACAAGAAAAAAAAAAAGAGAGAAGGGTCCTGAAAATGGAGTCTTAGCAATGAAAGACAGTGAATATTTTAAAGATCACTGAATTTAATTTATTCAACCTAAATGCATAAAAGTACAGGTGGGGACATTATTTATGCAGGTATATGCAAATCACTTTATAAAATAGGCAAAGCCCTTCTGCTTTTCATAAGTTGCCAAGGTGGTTCCTGATATTTTAAAAGCTATGCACCTTTAATGTAATTTCCTAAGAGTTGGAATCCCTTGTAGGAATCACAGTCATTGTCAGAGCAAGTTTATTTTTTTCCTTTTCCTCCAGGACATTTACAAGGCTCTCATAACCATCACAAAAAGAGTGGTTTCCACAGACAGGGGACTGGAAAAATCCCCTGGAAATTGTTGAGCAGCAAGTCACAGTGTTCAAAGCAGAGAACATAGGCTTTGAAAACATGAACCCATCTGACCTCCTGAATTTAGTACAGTGAATTCCTGAGCTCTGAAACATGGGGCCCGGCTGTGCATGCCATATTGGTGCTATAAGAGTGGCAGTAGGTTGGCTGTGGCGTGGTCTATTTCAAACTCCTTCACAGTGCCCAGTGTTGCATGTTCCCAGATGACATTTGGTTGGCAGAAACTGGGCCTCCAAAGCTGGCAATCTGGAATGCAGCCCACTGTGTTTTGACAAACACATAATTGACCATCTGATCACCAGCCTATGTTCTGCACTCAGGTCACTGAGAGACCTGGGCTTTCAGTAGGTCCCTACTCCCCATCTTGTTCATCTTCTCAAACCTTTCTCTAGGAAGCAATATAGAGAAGACTTAAACACACCCACGCAAATCTTCCCGTTTGTCTCGCGAACAGGGTACGTGAGACATAAGCTGTTGAACATTTCCTTTAAACTGTCCTGGAAGCCCAAAGTGAACAAGAGAAAAGCACACTTATGGTGAACTCTCATTCAGAGAGAAGGGATGAATATACTTTACTATTTCAACACCCGGGCTGTGCATAAGTTGCAATTCAGTTCAATGGCTTGAAAATTCTGCTTGGAAAAAGCAGCAATGGGAAAACAATAGGAAATTGGGGCATTAACTGACTTTAAGGAGACATTATTAGGAAATGGTTTGATTTTCAGGTGAAAGAAAAGCAACATTTTCTTCTTATCTGCTCCCTTTCCTCTTGCCTCATGCCTACTTTGGGCAGGATACGCACAATCCTGGAGACCAGCAGCTCAGAGTAAGGTGAGAGAGATTCTCCCGTGAAGCTCCCATAAGGATGTATTTTGGTCTGAAATTTGGCCTCATTCAACATATTAACCTTTCTCCTAGAAGGCAGGTTTATGCAGTGGGCCAAGATATGCTGGAATTCTGCAAATGTTAATGCCTATGTCAATACTCCCAAATAGCCTCTCTGTTCTACTCCAGACCTAACTGAACAGTTGGGGCCCTTGGTTTTCACCTTTGACCTGGTTTCCCTATTCTCAGTCAGCCATCTCAACAATAGAGTGCTCTTTCCAAAACGTAAATTTTCTTTAAATTCTTTAAAATCTCTTTGAGCCTGAAGAAGGAAGTCCGGACTCCTTTGCATGGTATACAAGGGCCTTTTGTGATCTTCCCCCGCCTGCTTTCCCACCTCCATCTCTTATGCTACTCTTTTAATCAACTTACTGAGCTCCAGCAACACAAAACCAATCAGTCCTATGGACCTGGCTATAACTTGATGCCTCTTGACTTTATAAATGTTCTCATGTTTTACTTGATTATGAATCCTCTTCCTTTTACCTCTCCTCTATCCAGCTGGTATACTGATATTCATTGTTTTGACTTTAAGAATCATCTTGGACACCTCCCCACATGCAGACGGGCACTCCTTTCTCATTCTTCTTCATACATCTTGGGTGTACCTACACTCCTACACCTATCACATAAGATAGTCTTTATTCACTTATTTTTCTCCCCTATTATACTGTAACATTTTTTAAAAAGGATCATGTCTTATTTATTTTGGAGTTCCCAGAACATAGTATAGTAACAAGTTTTCCATAAACATTGGTTAACTGAAAACAAAATAAAGATCTATGCATAATGAATCAAAACTAAGCCAAACAGTAGTATTAGCTTTTATAAGCATGGTAGGAGACTATTATCAATCTAATGAAGGTGGAAGAGCCCAGCAGTAAGGCATTTTCTGATGATTATCAAAGAGGCTGGTGATTAATTGGCTGGGGTAAGAGTAAGGCAGGGACATGGATGCTGCGATGGAGGAATGTCTTTTTTTTTTTTTTTTTTTTGGTACCGGGGATTGAACTCAGGTCCTTGTGCTTGTGGGGAATGTGGCAGAACCACTGAGCTAAATCCCTAGCCCGGAATGTCTTTTTTTAAAGCAGAGAATATCACTAAGGCAGTAAATTATCACCATTTACAATGTGGTTTTCAATACTGAAAGGCACTGTCTAAAGGATGTGTCTCAGTCTGAACTGTGGAGAGGCCTAACTTATAAGAACAGGGTTTCCCACATAGGATGACTCTCTGCTACCTGCTTCAAAACAGCACGGTAGGTTATGGTGGATTCCTTTTTATTTGTTTGTTTGTTTCTGTAAAAGACTAATTGAAAGGAAAACTCTTGGGAAAAATCTGGCAGCTATTCAGTTACTATTGAAATTGGGGTCAAATGCAGATTGGGACATTGGACTAAATGTAGTGCCTAAGGGAGGTCAAAACTGCTGAATTCTGCACCTATCCAGAGAAGGCCACTGAAGAGGCACTTGGAGTGAGAAGCACTGGTGAGATAATGTTCTGATCTGTTTGCAAGAAATGGTTCCTTTTTTTCTGATGGGCCTCTGAGGCTCAATCCCTGAAGCCATCAGCCACAACCACAGGGCATTTGAGGACAGCAGGACCGTCACCTTGCTGGCATAAAAGCAACCTCAGAATTTGGAAAAATTCAAGCAAGCATGAACTATGTCCCAGGGTGGGACAAGGTCATGAGTATATGAACGGATTATCAAGTTACCATAGGTCTTTGCCCTCCTCTTATATCTGGTTAAAAAAATTCCATCTCTCAAGAAGCTGCTTGACTGATGGTTGATGCAGCACAGAATCAATTTTACATTTTTCTATGAGCCAGACACAGCCTTTCAATTATATCTTTTATCTCAAAGTTCTCCTCCTCGATTTTTAATAGGTGACACAGGTCTCTCATACTGCTTGTGTCTGAAGCTTGCCCTCAAGCACTGACGTCATAATAGCTGAGCTGTGCAGGCAGGAGTGCATGGTGCTGACTCATTCTGGTGATGTGAGGATTAATGCCTTGTCTAACACAGAGCTATTATGTGAACTGGTTTTACACAAAAGAACTGTAACAAAAAATGATTTGCCAGTCAGAAGACTAGAAATATGCAGTGCTGGGTAACTGAGGAGAAGGATGTAAATAAATAAAGTGGTAACAATAAGTATGCACACTGACATCTTCCAAAGCCTTAACAGACCTACTCTATCAACATCAAGAACAGGGAATAACAAGACGTGTCAGGGGAAGGTAGGACCCACCCCTGCTGTATGAATGCATTACATATAGCACCAGCCTTTCTCTGTCAAATAAAATGTCAAACTAGACTTTAGCCTTAAAATCCTTTGGAGGACTCAGGTCCCCTAAATATATTTGCTATTAGCTCCTAAGAATATTAGTGGAAGCTACACATAAGGAAAAAAGCCATGCTAACCTCCTCTTTGTACAGATGATTACAACACATGAAATACTTTGGAGTAAAGAGTCAGTGAAATAAGACATAATTTTTAATGGACAATATGCATCAGAGGGTGAGATGCAGCCAGAAGGATGCTGATGATTATTTATCACATCAGGTGACTGTCACTCACTGTAGGATTTCTTGGGCAGTGTCTCTTGTACTGACTTTGATCTTTTGGTTTTGCTGCCCCAGAACCTCTTTCAAGAAACTCAGAGTAATATATATTCAAACCCAAACCCTAGCAGTTTAGCCTGGTTTGGTTCTATTAATAATAACAACAATAAAAAATTTTTTCACTTAAAATCAAATGTTTTTTTCCCAAATAACTTCTCATTTTTTTCTAAAATACAATGGTATCTTTTATATGCCTATTGGCACATATGAATCCTAGATTTCTTTTAATCTCCCCCAACTTTAAAAATTTTGCACAAAAATTTAGTCTATTCAATTTTCTGTCTTATACTCCTTAGTAAAAAGACATCTCTGATCTAGGAGTTAAAATTAAAAACTGTTGGATCTATAGATAGGTGAGTAACTGCAGAATAAATAATTGTGCACTCACTGATAGCCCAACTCATGGCTGATAACTGATAGAAAAACGTAAGCCGCAGTTTAGAAGAGCAGTGACCTTTGAAATTAGCAACATGGCCAAGTACAGGGCAGTCTATATAGGAACAGGAGCTTGGGCTGCTGGTCTTTTCAGCTCCCACCTGGATGGTAACATACCACTACTACCAACAGCCTCAACTCCAAACACGAAAGAAGCTAACACACACCAAACAAATGCTAGAGGCCAAGTCAGCTAGCAAAGATGTCAATAAAGACCAAAATTCCCCAAATCTGACATAACTTTTTAAAAGGTAAATAAACCACTTTTACTTACATAAAGAGAAGGGGCAGGTGACAAACTGATGGTCAAGGAACTGAAAAACAAAGAAAAAAACCAAGGAATTAAACACAAAACTAAATGATACAGTGGGGAAAAGAAAAACAAGTCTAAGTGTCAGTGGAACTCTTTTTTCTCAATGGAGACCATTTTGTCACTTGTAGCTCAAAATAAAAGAGATTCAGCCTCACATAAAATTTCCAAAGCTGTGACCCTTGCTATGACAACTGACACAGTACTTCCCAGCACAAGGAATGCCAAGATCTTTCATAGTCAATTTGATTCTGATCTGTGTCAGAACGTATCTGTTCTAGAACCATAATGTCCAACACAACAACCACCAGTCCATTACTTTTTAAAAATTTAAATTCTTGAAAATTTAATGGAAAAACCTAAACATTTAGTTAAATTTAGTCACACTAATCACATTCCAAGGGCTCAACAGCCACATGTGGTCAGTGGCTGCCTTACTGGACAGCACAGAAACAGAACATTTGTCACTGCAAAAAGTTCTAATGGGGAGCACTAACTAAAATAGGTAAAAGCTGTGCTTACACATAGGACCTCATCAACTTTAGCCAATTTTGGCAAAGACAAGTTAAATCCTAATAAAAATTTGGTTCTTTAATGGTAAATTCAGTAGCATAAATTCCTCACAGATCCTCCAGACAGCTTGGCACGTCCATGGGTTGCTGACCTTCAGTAACACTGAGAACTTGGCCAAGTTGGCCTCAGTGTCCTGGCTTCCCACTCTGATCCTGCCTCCTCCACCCATCTCACCAGCCTAGTAGGAAGTAATATGACAAAGTGATTTTAAACTGCAGTGTTTGTGCCTGCAATCTCATCTCTAATGATAAAAATTATAGGCATAGTAGGAGTGGAGATTAACATTTCCCCATTCTATATTTAAAATCTAAAAATTCTCCTTTAGAATCTTTAAATCATATGCCAAACAACTTATCATAGGACTGGTCTGTCCACCGTTATTTTGATGGATTTTCTTATAGAAGGAAACAAACAGGGTAACAAAAAATTTGTAAGAAATTAATGAGCCAAATAATCGGAGTGAGAAAAATAAATCAAGTTATCCTAGTTAAGTCCCCACTATAACATATCAAGGACTTCACACATACTGATTGAATTCTTGTCTCTCTGATACGATGATTTTTAACCACTCACAGAATGCATCCAAAAATATGCAAAATAAACTTCATTAAAGGTGGTCAAGTAGAAAGACCTGATAAAATAACTTTGTACTGAAAAAGGCTGAAGCAGAAAACTAGCAGTTATAGAGACTTCATTTCCATCAAGTTTTCTGGACAACGTCATCACTGTAGAAATTTCCAAAGAACTGGCTTCCTGTGCATGGACAATGTGAAACCTGCCCAAGTACATTCAGGTGAGAAGGGTGGTGGTCCCCTACCGGGATGAGAAGAGTTAAGAAAATCTGCAGCCTGGATCATGATACATGCTAACGTAAGAGAGTTTGGGGGTCTCCCATGCTTTCAAATTGTTTCACAAAATTGATGAGTTTAATGAAAGTTTAAGCAAGATAATCAGATTATGTATATGATTTATTGAAAGTTTGTTCAAATTTGAAACACAAAATAAAAACTAGTATTCAAAGACTTGAAGGCTCTAAGTTTTGCTACTTGAAGGCTCTAAGTTTTGTCTTTTCTACAAGTCAAGATACCCAACTATTGAGCTCAAGCATCTTTTCTTACTTTTTCCCTGTTTCCTTCTCTCCTTTTTTTCCTTTCTTTTTTCTCTCTAACCCCCTCTCCACCACTTTTTTGAGGTTGCTTTCTTTCTCAACCTTTCAGGAGAAAAAAAAAATATGGTTAGCAATTTTCTAAAACATATGTTAAGTTTCCACTTTTCTATGGCATGTTATAAATCCAATAACTTTCAGTAATATATTATGCTCTTTTGACTATACTTAGTATTTATATTCATATGTCTAAACATGTAACTTTTTCTAAATTTCAATGGACATTTTATTCATGAAATTAGTCAAAATTAATTTTGATGTGATCAAAAGAGATCAATGTAAAGTGTACCTAAATTGACTAATACAAACAAGGTATGGAATGAAAAATGATCTTTCCGGATGTCAAATGACACACAGGCTGTCAATGACAGGAATCCAAGATGAAGAGAAAAATCACAGTATATGTCACAGTCTAACACAATTTAAAACCAAGTTAAATTGAAGATTTGTTTGAATGTAATTGTCCTTATATATTAATGCAAACCAATAATACTGATCCCAAATTTAATACTAAGACTAAGATTTAATCTCACAGATTTATACAATTCATAAATGTTCATTAACATCAAAAGACTCCTACTTCTTGATTGCATTACAATACGTGTTTAAAATTTAAGAATATGTATTAATCTGCAGAGATTTACTTTTGTTCAGTTCAAATTGTTATGTTATAGATATATGCCCTTTCTATTTCAAAGATATTCACCTTATATGTCTGTAAATTATTTTTATCTAAAATTCAAAGAGCTTTCCATAAAACATTCACAATAAGCATGCTAGGATCAACACAGAGATATGTAAAAGAGTAGAGAATATCAAACTATAAAGGCCAAATAATTCAGGGCATTAAAACATAATGGTGGGGGCTTATGCAAAGAGATAAGCAAAAGAGGTAACTTACAGTGGAGTCTAAGCCTCATGATTTCCAAGTAGAAATTGTTATACAATGTCAGTATTCAAGGAACTAAAAGTATTACTACTTGTAATTTTAAAGATTAGTTACTTCTACTTTCAATTTACACAATTTTTGTAGCAGTGGTTTCCAACATTTGGAGGTGATACAGATTCCTATGCAAGGGGCGGGGGATTTAGTTCAGTGGCACCGCGGCTGACTCACAAGCACAAGGTCCTGAGTTTGATTCCCGGTACCAGAAAAAAAAAAAAAAAAAGGAAAAACAGATTCCTATGCAAATCCCTCCCTCAGAAAAACTCCTCAAAAATACCAAGTTTCAAGGAATTCCCAGACTCCATGAAGATTCATTTACGAATCCCAGGTTACTTACCCCTGACCTTGAGGGAGAGTAGAAAACCCCTTTTTAAATCTCACTGCTCATTGCCCTCAGGAAGTTTTAACAAAACACAACAGGCTGAAGCCAGAAGTAAGGAAGACATGTAAGAAATAGAGCTCTAAGTGGGTGAGCATGTGTGCTCAGAGACACGTGGGCTTCTTTAATGCCTCTCAGGAGCCTATCTTCGAAGCCTTTTATAATTTGTTTTTTAAATTGTCCATAGATCCATACCTATACTATGGTAGAGAAGCATGGAGCAGAGAAATTATAATGATAAAAAGAGTTACTAAAATTTACTGAGTACCTTATATGGTTTCAGGCATCTTGGTAAGTAAAAGCTTCTTCAGTTTGACTCTGTGTATACCTAGGGTATGGAGAGTGTAACATGGAGTGCCCAAAGCTACAGAATTACTAAGACATGCCTGACTTCCTGGAGGATCAGTTTTCTTTGCGGGCAACTTAAATTCTTATTGTAATTCATTCTTCTAGCCAATAACTGTTTCTTGGATGTTATAGAAGAAACACAATAGATTCTGTCTTGTCCTTGTAGAATTTCCAATTTGGTGAAACATAAGAATATACTACAGAGTAGAAAGCAAAATTTGTATGTATTTTCAAAGCGACAAATGAGGCCTCACTGAAAAGTCCACTGTGTCTGGCGATGTCTCAGCAGGCACTCAGATCACTATCTTGAGGATAATCCAAGTGGAAGAGTTTAAGAAGCATTGGTACACTATATCATCTAATCCTCACTAAGAAAATACTGTTATTTACAATTTATTAGGAGGGGGGATTTAAAAAATTTAGTCTCAAATCACACAGCTGCTAGCATGTAAGTTTGTATTATTCCAAAGTCTACATTTTTTTTAACCACTAAATTATACTACCTCTAGGTGTTTCCCATTTTATGCTTCCCTTTAAAATCTGGGCTCATTCAGGATTATGCAGGGTGGTTTAAGCTTTTCTTTGGAAGGAGACAGGTTTGGCTTGATTGCATTCTAAATATTTCACAGTGGTAAGGAAAGCTATTATTATACCCATTTTATGGTGAGGGCGCTGAGCCGCTTGCCAGCTGAGGTATCTGGCTGGGTTAAAAACGGAATCTGGGTTGTCAGTCTCTCATTCCTTTTAACTAACTCCAAGCGTAGGCAATGTTACTGGCCAAGGGCTTTTCTACACTTGGGACTCACTGGGTGATAGACAACTTTGCTAAGAGAAAACAACAATAGTTCAATTTTTAAAAATAAGTAATCATAACTCACAAAATTGGTTACTTTAAGCACTATAAGAAGAAAAGGGAGAGCTTATTCACCACAAATGATTCAGAACATTAGAATGTGTCACAGAACTGATGACAGACCTGAGGAATTTAGATGAACTGAAGTTCAACATTTACCTAGCTTAAAGTGTTTTGGTAAAAGGTGGGCCAAAAGGACTTGTTTTTAATCTTCCCAATCTATTTTATTCCACTGCTCTCTTTAGAAGTCAGGTGAGTTTATATTTTTGTTTTCTACAGGTAGAGATGTTTTAATATCTCTTTAATATTCTAGAAGTATTGTATTGAATTCTTATGTGGGAATCATTCCAAATAGTAGGAAGAAAATTTTTACCGATTTTCCTAATACATTTCCAACTTCCAGTATTTTCAAAGGGTAAGACATTATTGGATTTTTAGATTCATATGCCTCAGAGTAAGTGCTATGTAGATTCTTGTCAACTGATATTCCATCTTCACTCTGGATATATGATTTCCTTTATCTGACATATTCAAGAAATTTTGTGCTAGATTTAATGACATTTCATACATCTTGGTTTCAGGAGTTTTTAATTCTCTAATCTAGCAAAAGTTTACAAGTTAAAGTCAGACAAAGCTTATTCAAATGTTCATACAGAGCATTCACAGTCTCCTACTAGTTCTTTTAGCATCTCTTATGAATAAGTTTCTTAGGTATTTTCATTTCTTTTAGCCAGTCATAA